ACACACTCACACAAAAGCCTGCCCTTTGACACCATGGAGCAGATGGATCTTGATCAAGGTTGCCATCTTGATAAGGCAATTCTACTATCAGAAGCAANCTTTTGGAAAGCTGTAGATTCTGTCACTGAAAAAATACACACTCACACAAAAGCCTGCCCTTTGACACCATGGAGCAGATGGATCTTGATCAAGGTTGCCATCTTGATAAGGCAATTCTACTATCAGAAGCAAAACCAAATTCACTCTTCCACCACCTGAGAGTCTGCACAGACCTGAGTCTGATCAGGGTGAAAGCTAAGGCTTAGGCTGGCATTTTTGGGGAGCTCACAAGCTGTCACAGATGAGTCACCAATCACCAACACCCACCCAACCACAGCTGCTCAGAGAACAAAATCTGTGCAGGGGCAAGAAGTTTTGTCTGTTCACTGCTCTACTTGCAGAAACTTCAGCACTTGTTCAATGAATGAATATATGTTCCATGACCCTCAGATGTTTATCATATAAACTGTTGCCCAAATTTTGTGTTTATGTTATTGATTGTAAAGAACTGTCCACAGGACTTCATGTTAAACTTGATAGAACATTGACTTTTCCACTGTTTTCAAGACATCACAGCAGCCTGCTTCTATCTTTTGGATCCATCGTGCACCATTCTGCATATTTGATGAGTAACAACAGTCTGCTAAGTAGGACTGCAGTTGTGTCTGGGGTGGGGACAGAGGGTTAAAAGGGGCAGGACACAGAGGGAATCACAAGCAATTAGAAGAGATTCCATGGAAACTTTCTGAGGCTCATTGTTAACAGAAGTAGGGTGAGTCCATATCAGGTGTAATTTTAGTGGAAGCTAATCTGCAGGGGTCAGGGGGGTAACTTTTACCTGGCATAAAGACAGGATTCACCCCAACTGGCATAGTGGGAAAATGAATTAATAGAGTTAACAGAGTTGTGTTTTTCCAGTAGTCATGTACAATGTGAGAGTTGGGACATAAAGAAGGCTGAGTGCCAAAGAACTGATGCTTTGCAATTGGGGTGCTGCAGAAGACTCTTGAGAGTCCCTTGGACTACAAGGAGATCAACCCAGTCAACCGTAAAGGAAACGAAACCTGAATACTCATTGGAAGGACTGTTGCTATAGCTGAAGCTCCAATACTTTGGCCACTGGACGTGAAGAGCTGACTCTTGGGAAAGACCTTGATGCTGGGAAAGACTGAAGGCAACAGAAGGGGGTGGCAGAGCATGAGATGGTTGGATGGCATCACTGACTCAATGGGCATGAGTTTGAGCAAACTCTGTGAGATGGTGAAGGACAGAGGAGACTGGTGTGCTGCAGTTTATGGGGTCACAAAGAGTCAGGCATGACTTAGTGACTGAACAACAACAAACAGTTGTATACTAGAGTCATGTGCCAAAGAAACAGAACCAATAGGATGTGTGTGTGTGTCTTTGTATGTGTGTCTGTATGTATTTGTGTGTGTCTGTGTGTATGAGAGAGAACGAGAGAGCGATATTACAAGGAATTGGCTCACATGAATGTGGAGACTGGCAAATCCAGAATCTATAGGGTAAGCTGGCAGTCTGAAGACCGAGGGAAAAGTTGCAATTTGGGTCCAGTGGAAGTTTGCTGGCAGAATTCCCTCTCCCTTGGGGGAGTCAGTTTCTTTCTTAGGGCCTTCAACTGATTGGATGAGACCATCCCACATTATGGAGGGCAATCTGCTTTCCTGAAAATCTACTGTTTAACCCCATCCCCCCACCCACCCACCAAATACCTTCACAACAGTGTTTAGAGTAGTGTTTCTCCAATATCTCTGTACCATGTCCTAGCCAAGTTGACACATAAAATTAACCATCATCACAGCACCACTTAGGAAAACCTAATACAAAGCATCTGGGTTTGTCCAACAGCTGCATTAGAGCAATATTCTAACCCTGCTGGGCATTCACATGCTTTCAAGTCCCTTCTGTAAGGGCATGGCAACCCACTCCAGTATTCTTGTCTGGAGAATTCCATGGACAGAGGAGCCTGGGGGTATCCATTCCATGGAATTGCAAAGAGTCAGATAGGACTGAGCGGCTAACACACTTAACACTTGTAATGTCATATGCCGTGCCTCCTTATCATTACTGACTTGACCTGGAATCCTTCTCCAACCTTGCTTCCTTTACCACTGGAAAAAGTCTCCTCCTCTTTCAAAGTTCAGATCGAGTGTCAACTCTGGGACACACAGTGCATCCCCTCCTGAAGCATGAACTCCTTGTTGGGTCCTTTCTCCATATGCTGTTATAACACGGATCACATTGCCCTGTGATTGTTTATACACCAAACATCAGATTAGCCAAATGGTTAAACATGTATCCTTTGGCTTCAGACTTCCCTCCTTGGCAAGTGATCTGACCTCTTTATGCCTTAGTTTCTTCATCTATGAAGTGGGACTTAAGTAGTACTATACCAACAAACTTGTGCTGAGGACCTAATGACTTACTATATGTAAAACTTTTAGAACTGTAGGCAGTAGCCACTCCAAAGAAGAGTGAAAAGTGAAAGTGAAAGTCGCTCAGTCGTGTCCGACACTTTGTAGCCAGTCCAGGGAATTCTTCAGGCCAGAATACTGGAGTGGGTACACTTACCCTTCTCCAGAGGATCTTCCCAACCCAGGGATCAAACCCAGGTCTCCTGCATTGCAGGTGGATTCTTTACCAGCTAAGCCACAAGGCAAGCCCCCAAAGAAGGGTGGTTATTTTCATTTCTACTGTTATCGTTGCTCTCTGATTCCTGTGTCCTGTGCAAAGACTAGGTGTCTCTGGAGGTCAGGCATATTATCATCTTCCCCTTAGCATCTTTCCTAGTATTGAGTGAAATATACCAAGAGTCTCTAGACATTTCCTGGAATGTGTAGTGTCTTATATGTACAGGGTGCCAGTCAGTATACAAAGGCTGGCAACACTATCATGCATGTAACATCACTTTGCTGACAAAGGTCCACATAGTCAAAGGTACATTTTTTCCAGTAGTCGTGTACAGATGTGATAGTTGGGCCATAAAGAAGGCTGAATACCAAAGAATTCATGCTTTCGAACAGTGGTGTTGAAGACTCTTGAGAATCCCTTGAACAACAAGATCAAACCAGTCAATCCTAAGGGAAATCAACCCTGAATATTCATTGGAAGGACTGATGCTGAAGTTGAATTTCCAATACTTCGTCCACCTGATGTGAAGAGCCAACTTACTGGAAAAGACACTGATTGCTGGGAAAGATTGAAGGTGGGAGGAGAAGGGGGCAACAAAGGATGAGATGGGTGGATGCATCACCAACTCAATGGACATGAATTTAAGCAAACTCCAGGAGACAGTGAAGGACAGGGAAGCCTGGCATGCTGGAGTACATGGGGTTGCAAAGGGTCAGACGCGACTTAGTGATTGAACAACAAAAAAATCTCATTATAACCTTGCAAGGTCATTAATATTCCCATTTTATAGATATTAAGTGAATCATCCAGCATCACAGACAGGTGGCAAGTGGCAGAGTCTCTAACTCCAAGGTCAGTGAGAAAGAAGTACAGAGATGCTAGAAATTCAGAAAGTTTTCTTTTCTGGTGCACATACTACCCTCCCTCCTTCCACTTCCTTCTTCTTTCTGCCAGTAACACAGACATTCTGGACTGTGAAACCTGGAAAAAGAAAAGGGAGGTTTCCACTCATNCCAGGGTTAGTAGAAGGAAAGAAATCTTAAAAATTAGGGCAAAAATAAATGCAAAAGAAACTAAAGAGACCATAGCAAAAATCAACAAAGCTAAAAGCTGGTTTTTTGAAGAAATAAACAGAATTGACAAACCATTAGCAAGACTCATTAATTTGCTTTTAAAAGTGGCAGATAGTTCACTGTGTGAGGGGCAAGAAGTGTGGGAATAAGCTTCCTATCAGATCAACTTTGAATCTCAAGCCCTTAATTTTTCCTTTACCCCGTGAAGGGCACTTAGCCATGTTGGATACGCTCTATCTCTAACTAATGCAGCCCGTGTATGCAGACCCTGAGGGCTATAAGGAAAGATGCAAGAGCATCTAATGGGGCAGACTGGAGGATCAACAGAGGGCTAGATGGTTCTCTCCTCTTTAATATCCTCCTTCCAAGCTTAGTGATAAGAAGAGATAAGAGAAGGAGGAAAGGAGAGGAGACAGGGGAAGACTTCATGTCTTTCCCTACCTGTTGCTTTGGAGTTGGACCTTCCGGGTTCTCTCTGTTTCTCTCTCTCTCCCCATCTCTCTCTCTTTCGCTCAACTTTTCTCCTACCCTGATTTTAATTAATATTTTAAAAATACATTTATTATTCTCTTTCTTTAGATTATCATTCTTTCCTTGAAAAAAAACTTGGACATCCAAGAAAATCATAACGATAAAAATACAAATTTGCTTTTCTCCCTAAAGGTCAAATGAAAACACTTGGGACATTTTAGTTTATTTCGTTACATTTCTCTTTTAAACAGAATTAGTTTTATGGTACTCCTACTGTTTTACACTTGATTTTTTCTTAACTTGAATATTTTTTCCATGTTGCTAAATAATCTGTTGCAGCACCACATTAAATTGGTCTATGATGCTTCATTCCAGTCGTATACTTAATTAAGTTTAATTAAGGGTGACTTAATTTCTGGATTTCTAGATTGCTTCCAATTTTTGATATTATAAAGTGCAGCAGGAAACACCTTTTAATGTATATTTTTGTGCTCTTTTCCAGTTATTTCCTTAGCATAAATGACTGCTTGGGGTTGTTTAATCAAAGGTTATTCATATTTTTATGCCTTTTAAGAGTCAAGTTTTGTCAAATTGCCTTCTTAAAAATAGTCTGAGCTTGAGAGTACTGCCTCAAGAAGGAAGGAAATTGACTTAGATAAGCATTTACTTAAAGAGTGAGATTGAACACTTTCTACATGCCAGTCACTGGGAGGGTTCAGGCAGAGATATGGAAGTCTAGATGGGAGTGAGCCATGTTTATAAGAAATTCTACAGGATGGTCACCGTCTGCAAATATAGGCAAGGTTGTAATAACTGATTTACTGACATTAGGTTTTAATGCATGATAAACCAGCATTGTTGTCGTTGTTCAGTCCCTAAGTCATGTCCAGCTCTTTGCAACCCCATGGAGGGCAGCACATTAGGCTCCTCTGTCCTTCACTATCTCCTGAAGTTTGCTCAGATTCAGGTCCATTGAGTCGGTGATGGTATCTAAATGTCTCATCCTCTGTCGTCTCCTCCTTTTGCCTTCAATTTTGCCTTCTTCTTTTTTTTTAAAGTGGAGAAAACCAACATTACTTGTTTTTAAACTTGCTGGTCATCCTGTATAAGGTAGTGAGGTAGTGAGGGGTTATTGACATCAGGGCACCTTCACCATTTGACCTGGATTTTCTGAAATCACTCTTGGAATTTTGTTACTTTCATTACAGGTGATTTTTTTCAGTGCTGAACTAAAGGTGAATTAATTTCTATATACCAGACACTCTCCTAAATCAACACACCTGCACACACTTACACACATCTTTTAACTTGGGTTTTGTCTTGGAAAATAGGACATGGTGGTCATAGATGACACCATGAATTAATGAAAAGACAAAAGGCTTAGACTCAGTTATACTTGGGTTGGAATCTTGCCTCTATTACTCATGACTATGTGCCTTTCAGTGCATCTTTTAATGTCTCTGAGCTTCAGGTTCTTCATTTGTAACTATGGGTCTAATAATATGGCAGAGTCCCTTGGGCTGCAAGGAGAGCAAACTAGTCAATCTTAAGGGAAATCAGCCCTGAATATTCATTGGAAGGACTGATGCTGAAGCTCCAACACTTTGTCCACCTGATGTGCAGAGGTGACTCATTGGAAAAGACCTTAATGCTGGGAAAGACTGAAGGCATTGTTCAGTCCCTAAGTCATGTCCAGCTCTTTGCAACCCCATGGAGGGCAGCACATTAGGCTCCTCTGTCCTTCACTATCTCCTGAAGTTTGCTCAGATTCAGGTCCGTTGAGTCGGTGATGGTATCTAAACGTCTCATCCTCTGTCGTCTCCTCCTTTTGCCTTCAATTTTGCCACCTTCTTTTTTTTTAAAGTGGAGAAAACCAACATTACTTGTTTTTATACTTGCTGGTCATCCTGTATAAGGTAGTGAGGTAGTGAGGGGTTATTGACATCAGGGCACCTTCACCATTTGACCTGGATTTTCTGAAATCACTCTTGGAATTTTGTTACTTTCATTACAGGTGGTTTTTTTCAGTGCTGAACTAAAGGTGAATTAATTTCTATATACCAGACACTCTCCTAAATCAACACACCTGCACACACTTACACACATCTCTTAACTTGGGTTTTGTCTTGGAAAATAGGACATGGTGGTCATAGATGACACCATGAATTAATGAAAAGACAAAAGGCTTAGACTCAGTTATACTTGGGTTGGAATCTTGCCTCTATTACTCATGACTATGTGCCTTTCAGTGCATCTTTTAATGTCTCTGAGCTTCAGGTTCTTCATTTGTAACTATGGGTCTAATAATATGGCAGAGTCCCTTGGGCTGCAAGGAGAGCAAACTAGTCAATCTTAAGGGAAATCAGCCCTGAATATTCATTGGAAGGACTGATGCTGAAGCTCCAACACTTTGTCCACCTGATGTGCAGAGGTGACTCATTGGAAAAGACCTTAATGCTGGGAAAGACTGAAGGCAGGGGGAGAAGGAAGTGGCAGAGGATGAGATGGTGGGATGGCACCGTGGACTCAATGGGCGTGAATTTGAGCAAACTTCAGAAGATAGCGAAGGACAGGGGAGCCTGGTAGGCTGCAGTCCATGGTGTCCCAAAGAGTCAGACACAACTTAGCTACTGAACAACAACAAACACAGGGAGGTTGTGGGGGTTACAGGAAATAAGGACTGTGAGCTGCCCAGGTTCCTTCTCCTCTGTTCTTTGTGAGGTTCACCCAGCATCATGGCAGCAGCTCCCCTACCACTGGTGCCAGGGGCCCCACCTCTCCACCCCATCTCTCTGTCTTCCCTTATCTCTCATCCCAACCTTGCTGCTCCCAGTCCTCAGCCTCTCACATACACTAAGACCTGATTCTTCATGATGACAGCTATTCTTCAACTTTAGTAAGAAGGACACCGGTGCCCATCAAGAAGGTAACAGACCCAGGGAAGTGAAGCTTGAGGGGGGGTATTTTCATCCCTTCACACCTTCTGCCCACCTGCTTGGAACTCAGTTTCCTGATGGCGTGGGCAGGAATCTCTCTCCCCTTGGGGCCTCCCTTACCTGCAAGAACATTCCATAGACAGATGCCCCCGGGGCCGTTGACTGCCCGGTACGGAACTTGGATCATGTTGAGAATGGCGAAGCCCATGCTGACCAGAGCCAGCACCAAGGCCAAGAAGAGGAGCAGCAGAACCGTGACGTGGAGGCCCGTGTTGAGCTCCTTCACCAGGTGTGGGAAGACTGCGGAGATAAGACACAGCCAACACGTCAGCCTCAGAGCGCAGCTCGAGGGTACACGACCCAGACCGCTTACAGTGAAGGCATTAGCATGGTGGAGTGAGGGAAAGGCAGTGAGCCCTGGGCTTCCACAAAGCAAGAGTCTTCCCAGATAAATTTACCCCTTCTCCGTTGGCCAGCAACCTTCGCTTCCTTGGGGTGGATGCAAAATCAGAGGGATCGGGTGGAGAGGGAGGTGGGAGGGGGGACCGGGATAGGGAATACATGTAAATCCATGGCTAATGCATTTCAATGTATGACAAAAACTACTGTAATGATGTAAAGTAATTAGCCTCCAACTAATAAAAAAAAATAAAAAAAAAAATGAACATGCCCCAGCTAGGTGTTTAAGCTGCATTGGCCTTGCAGCTCTGGGATCTGGTGTGAGTTGATCCACACAAGCCTCAGGGGGTATCTCTTTAGCAAAGGAGCCTGGCACAAGAAGCAGTCTAAGAAGGCTGATCACAAAGCTTTCATCAGGGTTAGAGTCTTGTTGTTTGTCCAGATCTTTTGCAACCCCATGGACTGTAGCCCACCAGGCTCCTCTGTGCATGGGATTTCTCAGGCAAGAATACTGGAGCAGGGTGCCATTTCCTTCTCTAGGGGATCTTCCCAACCCAGGGATCGATCTCAGGTCTCATGCATTGCAGGAAGATTCTTTCCTGTCTGACGTACAAGGGAAGCCCCATAGTCCTATATACTATATGGTATATAGAGCTTAGAGTCACTGGTTTCAGTTATTATATATGAATAATTTAAAACAATGAAACCAGGGACTTCCCTGGTGGTCCAGTAGGTTAAGACTTGGCCTTCCAGTTCAGGGTGTGCAGGTTCAATGCCTGGCTGGGGGAGTCAAGATCCCACATGCCCCATGTCCAGAAAAACAAAACATAAAACAGAAGCAATGATGTAACAAGTTCAATAAAGACTTAAAAAAATAAAATGATGAAAGCTAAAATAAAGAAATAAATAAAAACACCCGGGCAAACCCCTTCCTCTGCAACTACTCCGAGGTTTCTACTGAACACCTCCTGGTATAACCTGGGGCCATCCTGTGCACTCCCGCCTCCCTGCTTCACTACTTGTCACCAAACTGACCAGCCCGTCTCCCACCTCAATTGAGATCCAGGACTCAGAGCTTTCCTGGCTTCACTTTCTGCCTGACCTCGTCCCCTTGCTCCTTTGCTGGTTCACCTGCCCATTTTTATTCAGAGAAGGCTGGTGTCTACCAGTCTGAGAACAAGAATTTTGGTCTCACTCCCTTTAAACTGTCCTTTCCACTCAGAGGTTTCCAGACACACCACAGTTACATCTTTGGTTCTGACCTAATTTTCCTCTTAGTTCTGTATTTCCATGTGTATTTGTCTCCATGCGGTTATCTCCCCGGCCTGAGAAGGCTTACCCTGGAACGTGAACTCCTTCCCATGGGACTTCCCCCTGTAGGCCTTCTCATTTTCATTTCCAGTCCTTGTATCTTGCTGTCCTTTAGTTTTTTATTTTTTATTGCAAACTCCCAGCATTTTTTTTTTTCATTCCAAACGTGGTAGCTTGTGCCTGATTACCTAATCGTTTCCTTATCCCCTTACATGCTCACGCAATCCTCAGGACATATGACCAGCATAATAATCCTCACCAAACACTTAAAATAGAAAATCATCACCTATGTGATTGGCAAAGATCAAAGGTTCACTAATACACAGTATTAATGAAGGTACAGGGAAGGAGATGCTGTCAAACCTGGTAGTGATATTAATTCACACAACTTTCTTTGAGAGAAATTTGGCAGCATGTCTCATTGCAATTTCACTTCTAGGAAAAGCACTCCCACATGTGCTCAAAGCTGTATATGTGTGTGTGTGTGTGTGTGTGTGTGTGTGTGTGTATCAGATATTCATTAAAGTAGCAAAAGGTTGGAGAGAAACGAAACTACGAATCAGTGCTGTGCTGAAGTGTGTGTGTGTGTGTGTGTGTGTGTGTGTGTGTGTGTGTATCAGATATTCATTAAAGTAGCAAAAGGTTGGAGAGAAACGAAACTACGAATCAGTGCTGTGCTGAGTTCTGTCCGACTCTTTTCGACCCCACATGGACTGTAGCCCGCTAGGCTCCTCTGTCCCTGAAATTTCCCATGCAAGAATACTGGAATGGGTTGCCACTTCCTCCTCTAGGGGAATCTTCCCAACACAGGGATAGAACCCAGGTCTCCTGCATCTCCTGCACTGGCAGGCAGATTCTTTACCACTGAACCACCTGGGAAGCCCATGAATCAGTAGGAGACTGATTTAATTAATTAAAGCACAATCCACACAATATAGCTTTTGAAAATAATTAATCATATCCATGTAATGATATGAAACCATCTCCAGATTTGATTTAATAAAAAATTGAGAAATAACCAATTACTATGATGGGCGAGGGCATTTTGGGGCATTTGAAGTAATGTGGGGGCTTCCCAGGTTGCACTGGTGGTAAAGAACCTGCCTGCTAATGCAGGAGATGTAAGAGATGCAGGTTCGATCCCTGGGTTGGGAAGATCCCCTGGAGGAGGGCATGGTGACCCAATCCAGTATTCTTGCCTGGAGAATATCATGGACGGACAGGCCTGGCGGGCTATAGTCCATGGGGTCGCAGAGTCAGACATGACTGAAAGGACTTAGTACACACACACACACATAGCATAGCAGGAAAATCAGATAACTTGGATAAGCAAAGATGTATAAGTTTAGTTTTAGCAGAGCTGAAATTCTAGAAGCTTTATTTTGAACTTGAATATTCCTTTTTTTAAAAGAAATGTATTATTTATTGGCTGCATCAGATCTTCATTTCAGCATGTGGAATCTTCCATCTTTAGTTGCTCCCTGCATTGGGAATGTTGAGTCTTAGCTCCTGAACCACCAGGCAAGTCCTGAATTTGAATAAATATTCTTATTGCGTACATATAAAAGCTACCTTGCTTGAATCCCAGAAGTGATTAATCCACCTATCAGCATCTCAAATTACATAATTACTTAAGTATTATATAATTTTTGATATCTGAGAGAAGTCCAGGGGTCCTTTTTACCCCTAACAAGGCAAAAAATAAAGAAATGATTGATGCATTAGATTTCATTAAAATGGAAAGAATTCTGCCCTGTGAAAGACAGTGTCAAAAAAACAACAACACGGTCCCTGAACAGGAGAAAATATTTGCAAAAGACACATCTGAGAGAGGACTGTTATCTAAAATAGACAGAAATAAGAAACGTGTGAGATCTGAAGCCAGCTCCAGGTCTGGCTGTGGACGGAATGTTTGAGGGTGAGAGATGATGAGGGCCCCAGCAAACTGAAAATGGTCAAGCACATACTACCTTTCAGGCACTACATCAGCTGCTTTTACAGAAATTATTTCCCTCATCGGTTTCTCTGACCCTCAGTTTCCTCGTCAGTTAGATGGGCATAAGTAAGATCTGTCCTCCAGCACAGAAATGGCTGAAGGAAATGAACTAAGAAGGAAGCTTGTGACAGTAATGTGTCACTGCTCAGGGATCACTTACTGCCTTTCACTTTCCCAGATGGAAAGCTTCTGGAGGCAGACAGGCCTCTGTTTAGTTCATCCCTGTTTTTCTCAAATGCCAGGCCCACAAATACTCTACAATATGGCTGAATATGTGAATGCGGCTAAAGGACCATCTGACTCTTTCTTTCCACTCAAATGGTTAGGTTGTTTTGCTTTTTATTTCAGAAAGTCTGGGTATAAACAAGGATCTTAATCATGATTGTGCTGCATATATGAGTGCTTATATATGTGTTTAGTCGCTCAGTTGTTCCAACTCTTTGCAACCTCATGGACTGTAGCCCACCAGGTTCCTCTGTCCACGGGATTTCCCAAGGAAGAACACTAGAGTGGGCTGCCATTTCCTTCTCCAGGGGATCTTCCCTAACCAAGGATTGAACCCGAGGTCTCTTGAGTCTCCTGCATCGGCAGGCAGATTCTTTACTGCTGAACTACCTGGGAAGCCATCCTATATATATAGCTCTTTGCTTTACTCCCTGGTTGATTTGGAAATTGACCTTCCTGGGTGACTCTAGGGGAGACCCCTATGAAGGTGGGAATGGAGGCTGTTGGTCTTACGAGACCTAACCAAACCTTCCTACTCCAGTTTACAAAGCACTTTCACACCCACCCCCCAATTCTGATCTGCACACAGGCCCTAGGAGCAGGATTTTTTTTTTAGTTTCTATGGATAGTAGCAGGTAAATCCTGATTCTGTCTTGGGGGTGGTGGGCTCTGATGCACCCCCTAGGTACCTCACACAGGGAGGTGATGTTGGCTCTAGGAGCTGTACATCTAAAGGTAGTGAGAAATATATGCTGGTTTCTCTTCAAATCATATAAATCTTTCACCTTTTACTAAAGGTAATGAGACTCACTTCTGATGCTGAGACTATTCAATACAGAATAAAAATTTTGCAAATTATCTACAACTGTTTAAAAAATTGTGCCATCTCCCACTTAATTTTTTTTTTGTATAAGTGGTTTTGAAATAACCTTAATGCTACCAATAACTTTTTTTCCCCCCTGAACCATTTGAGGGTACATTGCTCCTTCAACCCTGAGTACTTCAAGAGCAATTTCCTCAAAAAGGGCATTCTCTTTGACAACCATGATACAACTATCAAAATCATTAGGTTAACACTGGCGTATGACTGCTGTAATCCTGACGCCTGGTTCAAGTTCCATCAATTATCCTAGTGACGTCCTTTGTAGTACACGGACCCAGCTCAGAACCAAGTACTGCACACAGTTGTCATCATTTCCTTTTAGCTTGTCCTATTTCTTTGCTATATTTATTTATTTATGTTAAATGTGTTTTCAGCTTTTTATATAATCTTTTATTACATTTTATTGGAGTATAGTTGCTTTACAATGTGGTTGTTAGTTTCTGCTGTACAACAAAGTCAATCAGCTTTGCTGATATGTTTTATCCCCTCATATTCTTAAAAGACCTAGGTATTTTTTTCAGTATCCCTTGTCCAATTTAATTTCTGGGTAAATATAAATATTCCCTGAGTTTTTTTTTATTGCTAGACCTAACAAATTTTAATATGTATATCCTTCATGTATATAAGTGAAGCCAATTTGTATCATTTGTCAGTGGTTCGTTTTCTCTCTTTATATGTTTAAGATACCCTGGCTAAAGAAAGAAAGAAAGTGAAGTTGCTCAGTCCTGTCTGACTCTTTGCGATCATGGACTGTAGTCTACCAGACTCTTCCATCCATGGAATTTTCCAGGCAAGAGTACTGGAGTGGGTTGCCATTTCCTTCTCCACTACAATCCTGACATATAGAAATCAAATAGTGAATAAGATTCCTTATTCCCTTGATTTTCCATTATGAGGATTAATCATGAATTTGTAGGCTACCGTTCCCACCGGTGATCTGTTTCACTCTGAAAACATGCAGAAAATTGGCCTTTTTGTGTTGGCTTTTCCTTCCCAGAGGACCCTGGATTCCTGCTCCGTTTACACGCAGGGCAGCTCTCAGGTGAGCTGGATGCCCGCCCGCCCAGGTCAGTGCCCGCTCACGTTCACAGACAAAACCCTCTGCAAAATGGGAATGTTAATAATGCCTTCTTTATAAATTTGTTACAAGGCTTAGCAGAGACAAGCCATGGAAAGCATTTCGTAGAATGTCTGACACAGGTACGTACTCAATATATTAATAGTGATTATACATAGAGGTAAACTACAAAGATCTACAAAAAAAAAAAAGATCTTCTCTTGATGCTGAACAAGAGTAAGTCCTTGGCTTACTGTGGAATTTGTCATCATGCCTTAGACTGAAGCAGCTCTTCAATTCTGCATTTAGAGACAAGCCTACTCCAGTATTCTTGCCTGGAAAATCCCATGGACAGAGGAGTCTGGTGGGTGGGCCACAGTCCATGGGGTCGCAAAGAGTTCGACACGGTGACTGAGTGTGTGTGCACACACCCTATACAAGTATTCACAAATAAGTGTTCTGAAGCAGCTTTTGTGGCCGCAGTATACTCACTTGTGAACTGGGACTGGCGGCCCCCCAGCCCGCACTGCCGCACCTTACAACCGCGAAAGAGTCCGTAGTAAATGTCTCCGATGAATTTGACCAGCTCTGGATCCGTGGCGTTGACGAGGTCCACTCCCGTCTGACAGAGGATTTTCCCACTCAGCCAGCGGGGCAGCGCCAGGGCCACGATGATCAGGATGAAGGAGGAGAAGCTCAGCAGAGAAGCCAGCCCGTACCACGCCTTTTTGAACCATCCAGGCATGCTGCTGGGTGCAGGTCATGCCCCAGGGATCCCAGCAACTCCGGGGGTCCTCAGCATCTTCCGGACACTGGGTGATCCCCTGCTCCAGGGCGGGCTCTCCCAAGCACACCCGCTCAAGAGTTCAGGGGCGTCTCCTGGTCCTCCACCAGCACCTGCGCCCACAGCCCCGGTTTACTGCAACCACATGGGAAGTCTCTACAGAGACGTCTTCACCTGACTGCAGGGTGGAGGAGTGTGTTACCAAGGAAGTAACCCTATACCTCCTGCTAGACTAAGGTTTCAGCAGAGAGTTTAACTGTCCTTCATTTCCAGTGTTTGAATAACCCTACTGTGGCTCTCTTAATGACGAAGGAGCTATTAGCAGGCAAAATCAGGTAGACCTGAGTCTAAAGAGACAACAAGCAGGCTCACAAAATGCAAACGGCAGAGGGAAAACAAAGACTGAAAGAGTAGCCTTTGAATGTTGCCAACAATGCACAGTATCAGATGTTGATCTCTTTGATGCGTGCCTGGGCATTTCTTTCTCTGAAATGTCACTGCTGTCAGAACCCCTAGAAGTGTTATTAACACCATGAAATGACCTCTGTTCTCAACCCTTTTAACTGAAATGCGTTAGCAAGGCTTTATGATTTTTGAATTTATCACTGGGTGGATCTGCTGTGGGTAAAATTGCAGCTTTGAGATGGCTGGGGCAGCCTGGACCCAACACTTGCACACACACACACACACACACACATGCCTGGACCCAACATTTACACACCCTGCCCCCCCCCACCCCCTTTATCCCTCATAGGTCATGTCATCTGAATGGGAAAGTGTTTTTCTAATGTTTTAGCAAATAATCTTCTCCCATCACCCTGCTGGGGCCTTTGTCTCTTCTGATAGTGAAGATCCCCTGGAGGAGGAAATGGCAACCCACTCCAGTATTCCTGCCTGGAGCATCCCTCACACAGAGGAGCCTGGAGGGCTGCAGTCCATGGAGTCGAAAGGAGCTGGACAAGACCGAGAGACGGAGCACACAGTAGTGAAGATATGCTGCTTTCTTTTCATTTACAAGCACAAGGAATGCAATATTCCCTGACTTCTGTCTTATACTGTGCATTTAAAATTTTAAGTTTCAGACTATTGCCGAATGTCAACTTCACGTCACGTGAGGCTGGCAACAGCCACTCGGATAGGTTTGGGGGCAAAGTGGGATTGGAGTGGCCCAGTGAAATTCCTCCTTTGGTCTCAGAGCTCTGGAGGGGGTTCCAGGGGTTGGTGCCGCAACCCATTGTGGCAGGCAGGGGACGGGCCATTCCAGACATTCTCTCCTGAGGAAACTGAAGGTCTGGGTTGGGGCTGGAGATCAGGTCTTCGAAAGGCTTCTTCATTACAATGACCTTGACATAGCGATTTTTTTTTTTTTTCTGTTAATGAGCAACATACTGTGAAATGAAAATATCTCCTGCCATATCAGTAAACAAGAAATGAAACAGCCATCAGCGATTTCCAGCCTCCAAAGGTGAATGAGGGCTCCTAAAACTAATTGTGATCTGTGTGATCCAGTGGATGTGGTGGGCCCCCTCCCTGGGTCCCCCCTGCCCCTATTGCTGAGGAGCTGGGAGAATGCAAGAAGCAGGGTGAATAACAAAACAGGATTGGCCCCAGATAGCTGAGGTGCATATGAAAGGAATGAATTCAGTGAGTACAAAGGCTTGCTTCTTCTCATACATAGAAAGCCAAATTCCTTAACTTAATCCCTGATCTTTGATGTTCAGACTGCCTGCTCCCTTTGTTGCAAACTTGTGGGTAGCCTGACTTCCCCTCCTGCTTCCTGGGAGCAGTTTTCTCAGAGCTACTGAGATGCTGTCTCCCAGGTTCTGAGTTCTAAACTTGACCACCAAATAAAATAACTCTCTAGTTTCAGGTTGTGGAAATATTTTTTAATCAACAATTCGGATAACAGGGCTTCCCAGGTGGCGCTAGTGGTAGAGAATCCACCTGCCAATGCAGGAGACAGAAGAGACACAGGTTTGATCCCTAGGTGGGGAAGATCCCCTAGAGTTGTTCCTTTTTCAATCTCTAAGTCGTGTCTGACTCTGCGACCCTGTGAACGGCAGCACACCAGGCTTCCCTGTCCTTCACTATCTCCCCGAGTTTGCTCAAACTCGTGTCCATTGCGTCGGTGATGTCATCCAACCATCTCATCCTCCGTCACCCCTCCTCCTCTTGCCCTAGAGTAGGAAAAGGCAACCCACTCCAGTATTCTTGCCAGGATAATCCCATGGACAGAGGAGCCTGGTGGGCTACAGTCCATGGGATCGCGAAAGTCGGACACGACTCAGCGACACACACACACATATACAAACACACACACACACACACACACACACACACACAC